CACTTCTTTGTACTTCGGGAAAAAAAAAATGACACACACGAAAAGCAAGTCCCCCCGTGCCCCAGAAAGCAGAGCAGGCATGTAAATAATTTTTGGAAAGTGACTGTCGTGCCCGGGAGCCCTCACGAGATGAGAGCGCTCCAGCGGGCGCTGTCCCCGCCGCCCTGCGAGGGACACGGCGGCAGAGCCCCTATCTCGGCTTGTGTCAAGCTTGTTATCATGTAAATTCTGTACAAAGAATTGTTATTTTTCTCTTTTTTGTCGTTGGTGGTTTTGTTGTGTATTTTTTTTTTTTTTTAATTTCTTTACCCCAGGTTCTCTCTGTGGGAGGCAGTGCCCACCAGTTTCAAGATGGAGGAATCGGGGGCGTTAAGACACAGAGGGGTACCTGGGTACGGCCGCGACCTTCTCTTCCGTTTGCGGTTTTCTGCCTAATTGTGCAACCAAGGAAATATTTATTTTTCCCATGAGGACATGTATAGTTTGTAGAGATGGCCGATCTCAGTTCCCCGTGCAGTCCCCAAGGGGCTGTCTTCATTCTACCCACTGCCCCCTTCCTCTTGAGAAAAAGAGGGTGGTGAAGCGCGCAGCGTGGGCCCAGCCTGGCCGCGCCCTGGCCTCACCCTGGCCAGCCATCGGGCCAGCCTGCACCCAGGGCCAGGCGAGGGGCTGAGCCCACCCTCTGGCCAGGACCCCATGCCTCCTCCCAGAACGGCTTGCAATAATCCAGAAGGTGTCAGCTTGGTTTTCTTTCATCTCCTTGTCATCGAACAAAGCTCTGCTTTCGGAGAGTTGGGGGTTTCTGCCTTTTTGTTTGTTTCTTCCATCCTCCTCCCCCCGCAAAAAAAAGAACCGACGAGTTCTAGGGATGTCCGCGTGTGTAAGCTGTCATCCGTATGTACCTTGTTTTGAAGAGAAGTGTTCCCGCTGTGGGTGTGTCTTGCTGTAAATATTTGTTCATATTTTTGTGAATTCAATACTATGTACCATTGTATTATAGTAACTTTTATAAAGCAAACCATAAATATACTGACTTTTCTTACAGATACGCCGTCTCTCTCGCTCTCCTCTCTCCCTCTCCTCCTCTCTTTCTGCTCAACTGGGGGCTGGGCTGGCCGGGCTCAGGGGCAGGAGTTTATGGTATGGTGTGGCCCATTCTGACCATCAGCTCTTAAGCTAAGCCCGTAGGTGGATTCCGTGAATGGGCCAAACTATATTAGACTAGACCTCCGATGACTTTTTAGTTTCCCTTCTAGGTTCCCCCCCCACCTTTTTTCCTTTCTGCATGAGGCAGAGGGACTGGTGGTTCCTCTAGGGGAAGTGCCGGTGTTGATGGTCTGTGTGTAACACACATGGAAACTCGGCCCGCTATCCGCTGCCCGCAGTCGGGACTCAGCCCAGCAGGTATGAGATGTTCTGGGACGTTCTTGTGGCTTCATCTGTGACAGCGATGGGACAAAGGCAGCAAGGGACGTCCACTGGGATGAGCTTTTTTTCTTTTTTGTTTTATAAGAACTGTTCGTCTAGGGGGCCAGCAGATGATGTAGCAGTTATGTTGCTGGACACCAACGTGGCCAGCTGTGGTTCGAGTCCCGGACCCAGTGGCTTGAAACTCATGCCAAGTGTGTGTGCATGCGTGCCCAAGATCCTGGGAGGAGAATGGAGAAGGACTTGCAGCGTGGCCATTTCCCTGGGGGGTGATTTCTCACTTTCTCTTTCACTGTCTCTGTTTTTCTCTCCAGAAAAAAAAATATTTTTAATAATTATTAATTATTTTAAAATATTAATATTTAAATTTGACCAGAGAGAGAGAGAGAGAGAGCAAGGGGGCAAATTTTTAAAAACCAGTCTCAAGGAGCCAGCAGTTGGCGTGGTGGTTAAAGGCATTGGACTCCCACATGGCTGACCGCAGTTTGAGTCCTGGACCTGGTGGCTTGCTTCCTCACTTTCCCACTTCCTCTCTGTCTTCTTCTGGTCAAGTTAAAAAATAATAATAAATAAAGTTAAATAAAATAATTCTTTAAGAAAACAAAATGAGATTTCCCCCCACCCACCACCAAGGTACTGAGTGGACCAGCAGGGGAGGCAGACAACGCAGGGCCTGGCAGGGCAGCACAAGGGCAGCCCCGGGTCCCGTTCTAGGCTTGCAGGAACCTTACGTCTGAGTCTGAGTCTGCTGTCTTCATCCCGCTCCTCTGGGCACCCCAGCAGCCTTGGCTGGCGGCACCTCTCCTTGCTGCCTGCCGCTGGTGGGCGAGCTCAGAAACCAGCCCCTTGGGCTTCTTTCTGCCTGTCTGGTCTTCCTCGCCCAGCAAATCTGATGGTTCTCCTCTCATTTTTCAAATACCATCCTGAACCCCACGGGAGATGCTCTTTCTTCAAGCCCCAACTCGATATACCTGCACCCCCAGGGCAGACAGACCAGGACAAGAGCCCCTCACCCAGACCCCCTCCTAAAACAGGGATACCTCCATAGCATGGGCTCTGCTAGTCACTGTTTTTCTAAGTTTACGTATTTGTTGATATTTCATGAAAGAAAGACGAACACTCTCAATAGGATCTCCTCAGTCACTCTTTCATCCTTTTTTTATTATTTAATTTAACTTAATTTATTAATTTATTTAAATTTGACCAGAGAGGGACAGAGAAACAGAAAGTGAGAAAGCAAGCCGCCAGGTCCGAGACTCAAACCTTGGTCCGTCAGGTGGGAGTCTAGCGCTCTTAACCACCATGCCACCTGCTGGACCCACTATTTCTTTTTTACTTATTGATTTAAAAATTTTTTTAAAATTTGTTGTTGTTGTTTTGCCATAAGGTGTGTGCAAATGCTGGAGAGAGACAGAGAAAGGAAAAGTGAGAAATCACTTCCGGGGGATGGCCACACCACAATCCCTTCTCCATTCTCCTCTGGGATTTTGGATACATTTGCACATAACCCTGGTGTGATTTTCAAACTGCTGGGTCTGGGACTCAGACTCCAGTTGGCCATGTGGGAGTCCAGCCACCTTAACCACCATGACACTTGCTGACCCCAGTCACTGTTCCCTTTAAGTTTATCTCTCCAGAGAGAAAGGGACAAGCCCAACAGGGCCCCCGTGTCCCAATCCCCAGCCTCAGCCAGGTCAGATCACGAACAGCACTGAGAGCCTGGCACGCTCAGGAAGGCCGGGACACGAACTAGGCTCCCTGTGTGTACCCCCAGCACTGCGTCAGGGCCGAGCCACCCTCCAGGCCATCGGTCACCATTCCGAATACCTTCGATTAAAACTCACAGGAGCTCCACAAGGTGGGCACCAGCACCATCCCCATGAACAGATGAGGAACCCGAGGCCCCACAGACCGAGAACCTGCCCACGGCCATGCAGTGAGCAACCAGTGCATCTGGGGAGTGAACCGGGCAGCCTGTGCTCAGCGAGTGGGTCTGCCCTCCTGTGCCCCAGCTCGGGAGGTGCCCACCTGCCCATGCCCAGCTCAGGGGTGCTCACAGCTGGTGGGCTGTGCACCAGGCAGGCCAAAGTGGCCTGATAGTTCCGAGAGGGGCCAGGATCCTGGTTTGTGTGTGAAACAGCCTGACGGCTAAAGCACTCGTTCCGATGTGCTGGAAACTGTTCAGGCCAAGCCGGCCACACGCGGGAGCCAGCTTTGGCCTGTGCCACCTTCACAACCCTCCGGGGTGCCAGAATCTCGCCCCGGGGGACTAGAAAGAGGGGATCCATGCACGGGCCTGGGCCTGTTCTTTCATGCTTTCTCTGAGATGCTTTTCATTTTGGGGGTTCATAACCCCAGAAGCCCTGACTTCTATAATCTGGAAAGAAATTCCAGTCACCCCCCCCCCATATTATACCAACTCAGGTTTTTTTCTTTTTTTAGAGAGATTTTTGCTATAGGGCATATGCGCTCTCCAGAGACACAGAAAGAGAGAAATCACCTCCCCCTCCAGGGGGATGGCCATACCACAATCCCTTCTCCATTCTCTGGGGATTTGGGGCACACGTACACACATGCCCAGCGTGTTTTAAGCCACTAGGTCGGGGACTCGAACTGCAGTAAACTCCTGGAAGTTCCGCAAAGTAACCTTTACGCCATCTGCTGGTCCCCAGATTTATTTTTTCACGAGGAGATCTGCTTGATCCTGAGCTGAGCCATGGAGGGTGGGAGTGGGGAGGGTGTGTAAGGATGAAAAGGAGGAAAAGACCCAATTTGCTCCTCCCCCTCTCTTCCTCCCTGATTTTGAAGAAATTTCCTTCCTAAGGTTTTTGATCAGCTGTTTCTCTCCCAATAGCCTCATTCTTTTGCAGGGCTCACTCACACTCGAGCATGAAGGAGCGAGCCCCTTTCCAGAAGGAGTGGCTGGAAGCAAGAACGAGGCAGTGGCGCTGCACCGGGCGGGTGCAGCCAGGTGAGGGTGGCGGCAGAAGCTGGGGCCTCCGACCTCTCAACTGCTCTCAGACCCGGCACCAGGCCCTGTGTGCAGAGCAAAGATCCG